TAGATCTACACTATTACAATGGTTCCTATATATTGACTAATCAATTAAGGTTACAAGGTGTTAACACCACATAGTACAGTATTAAAATACTATAGCTGTTTTTTAGATTGCCAGGTGATTATTATGTAATCATATTTCAATGTCCGAAAGTTCTTATATTTTTTTCTAATCGAATGATTTTTTTTAGTTTCGATTCATGTTCACGACATTGAGACTCAATGCCATGAACTAACGTGAGCGGTAACCCGGAGTGGTAGAGATCGGGCTAATCACTCACTCGACCGATATACACAAATTGATTATGAAATCCACAAAGAATCACAGCACAATTAGTCTTGGACTGAAAAACGACGAAAGTTCACGAAAGTGGTGCATGAATATAAAGAGTCGCCCACTATTGGACAAACTCCAACCGATTACAAAACAGCTATTCTTGCCCAAATAGTTGTGTCGTGCTTCGATATGGCTTGTTTCTGTTCAGAAGGGGCTAGTAGGCTTCACCAACTTGTTTTGTTGAAAGAGGGAGGTTCAAGGCAAATGAGAATGAGAGAAATTCACTACTATTGATCTATTTTTTTATGTTTTAGTAAACTTGGAATTTATATTCGCATTGATAAACTTATGATCTTCATCGTTGTTACTTTTTTAATGGTTGAATTCATGAATCAGTCTATGGTAGATCATCATTGAAAACCTGTATGAGATGGATGGGCATTTCGTCCTAGTATGCTGACAGTGGGGAAAGTCATCTCTCCCTCTCGACATGCTCTCACATGTCCACGTACATAGAACCACTGACAGGGAAATCCTACTCACTGCCTTTTCGTGATATTAGAAGGAGCAACAAATTTTAGAACAATTTTGAAACTCAAAACTCAAGAGAAGACCAAAAGTGGGACGTCTAATCAAATTATGGATACTTTTTTTTGAATATCTAAGATGTAAATGATTTGGATACATATTTTTATAAACTATATCAATATCAAGCTTTCTATCTTTTTAATGTACACACATTTTGTGTGTATATGGTGTGTGCTACTTGTACAGGCACATATAAGTAGTATGTATTAAGAATTGGAGGTACGATTCTTAACAAAAGAAGAGAAATATAAAGAGAAGACACAGAAAAACAGAAGCAGTCTGAGTAACAACAGTAATGGAAGAACATCAAGTTTGTAAGGGACAATTCAAGGAAGATATGCAAATGATGTATTGAATGTATTGTTTTCATCATTTACAAAAATATATTGTATAGTATCACATACCTCATCTAAGTCTTTGTTCATTACACTTACATATAAATTTGAATATACTAAGCTTATTCGTCTGAGCATCATTGAAGATTAAGTGGTGAAGTGTCTCATAAATCCATACAATATTCTGTATATCATTACCATCAATCTTGCTCGATGTTTCATCTGGAAATGGAATCGTTTGTGCAAGATGTACACAAGTTATCATATCAGAATTTTATTCTACACAAAATGACAAATGAATTCATTTTTATATTGGTTGTTTAAATCTTCGCATTGATGTTTAAGACTGTAATGGATTAGTCTCTTATTATTAAAGCGAACGGTACTGGGCTCTAGTACTCGAGTGAAAATCAACTCTGGGATTCAGATACATTCAGCTGAAAAGTCTCAAGTGGGACGAAATGCGAGTCATGGATTCTATTGCCAGCCACTATCTATCTCTGCTTATAAAGCGACAAATTGTGTTTCCAATCATGCTATACTACTCGTATAGTTTTCTTAAAATATTTGTTGTCTTAGATATTTAACCAGATAAGAAAGAAATATTGAACATCACACACAATTTTTATCCAATACTCATGCAAACGTTCAACTAGATAAACAAAAAATATTGTGGTGTGTGCTACTAATGTCGATAGATATAAGTAGTATGTGTATCGCTAATCGAAAGTGAAATGCTTGGAGGCAGATGATTAAGAAGATCAAAGAAAAGTGGATGAGAACAAAGAACGATTGGGGTAGAAACGAATAAATAATGAAGTGGGAGACAATTGGTTGACATTTTGAAAATGAAGTACTTACTGTATGATTCTCAGATTTTACTAAGGGATTCTGTAACTTTGTTCACTACAATTATCCCAAACATATTTCATAAATATAACATGAATATTGGCTAGCAGTGAAATTGGGTACACTCATTTCGACCTCTTTTGTACCTGTCAGCTGGGTATACCTGCATCCCAATAGTCAATACTCACTATGGGACTCGAACCCGGTATCTTTACTATCGAGCTACCCGTTCTCGACCTTATATCCAATGGAATAAATTTTATGATCGAAATTCAGTTCTTAACATCAACAATTACATTAGCTGAAATTATTAATATAGGTACTCATATTGTGGCGTGTGCTACTGATGTCGACAGATATAAGTAGTATGTGTATCATTAATCGAAAGTGAAATGCTTGGAGGTAGATGGTTAAGAAGATCGAAGAAAAGAGAATGAGAAGACAGAATGAACACGAACGAACAATGAAGTCTAAGACGATTGACTGACATTTTGCAAATGAAGTATTATACTGTTTAGTTCTTAAATTGTACTAAGACATTCTATAATTGTATGTTCAAGTACATTTGGTTGTCCCCCCTTGTTTGTTCTCATTCACTACAATATTACTAATTTGTCATTTAAAAAAACATCATTCAAGTACATTCCAGTAAACAATGGTTTAATTAAACCACAATGATTCATGAAAACAATATTCTGTTCATTTGCACTGTAACATACATATACATAGTTACTAAAATCAAGATAACTCATTGTGTTACTAATGGCTAATACTTATGTGAGGTTGATTGTGTAAACACGATGGTGCCAAATACTTAAACATCACGTTAACTTACATTATTGAATCAAAATTCACTGGTCTTTATATATATGGAGAGTGTGTGTGTGTGTGTGTGAGTGTGTGTATGTGTGAATTTCTAGTTTGCACAATCAACCCACATAGTACTAGTCATCATTGAACATTGAATGACCTTCATTCAAAAAAAAAAACACTAAAAGTTCAAATCATTGAAAAAAAACCTTTATTAAAAATTAACGTTCTACATTCATTGATATCGATTAGATTCATTAGTTTCATAAACTAAGAAAACGATATCGTTATATAACTTTGTTGTGATTCATTTTATAATAGATTAATAGTTGAATTTATGAGTCAGTGGAACCTAATCCACCAAGGAACACCTAGAAGCACTGGACGACCATTTTATCTTAGTATGAAACTCCTCAGTAGTGCGCATCCACGATCTCGCCTCGCGAGATTCGAATCCAGGACCTATCATTCCATACAAAAACGAAACAGTCGTCTAGTGCTTGCAGATTTTCTATGGTGATCTAGATTCAATTGACTCATGAATCCAACTATTGAACTGATGAATCACTGTTTCTAGTTAAACATTTTCAACATTATTAATCATAATTTCTTAGTGAAAATTTCAAAGAATTCATAGCACTAATAAACAGAAGATTGTAATGAAGGTGAATCTGTTAAAGTTGTGTTATATGACACAAGTTAAGAGAAGATGGTAGGTAAAAGTCGTTTAAGCTTGAATTAGTAGCTTGACGATATGAGTATGGGTTTGGACTATAGATCAGTTTCAGTCTAAGATAAAATAGATGTCAAATAATCTAATAGTTGAATTCATGAATCAATTGAAGTTAGATCACTATGGAAAACCTGAAAGCACTGGAAGGCCGTTTCGTCCTATTGTGGAACGCCACAGCAGTGTGCGTCCACCATCTCCCCCCTGCGAGATCCGAACCCAGAACCTACTGGTTTCGCGCGCGAGCACTTAACCACTAGACCACTGAGCCGGCATCCGACAGTATTAATGTCTAACTTCCACGAATCCACGAAACTGAGCGACACATCCACTATTGTCTTCAGTGAGTTACTATCTGAAAACAGACCTGGTTGAACTCCGCTGGTCATTACTTCTCACTAGAACTCCAGGATATACTTCCTGAAGCCAGTCACTAATGAGCATGTATTGATTCATATCAGAAGGGGTTTTTGTGGATATTATAGTAATTTCAATGGTCCCACAATAGGAGGAAACGGTCGTTCAGTGCTTCCAGGTTTTCCATGATGGTCTAGCTTCAACTGACTCGTGATCTTAACCATCGAAATAATTTTAATTTTTCGATGGTTCGTATTTCTGACTGAAATTGGATCAATCTTAATTTGCTGTAATACATCCGATAAGGATTATCTGAATGTAACCATCGTGACATAAATTAGTATAGAATAGATTGACATCTGAAGTGAACGGTACTAATATTCGAGTCCCGAAATGATTAACAAATCTAGGATGTAGGTACATTCAATTAAGGGTTTCCAAATAGAATAAAATACACGTCCTAAATTATACCACCACTTACATGAACAATAAGGTTTGATGATAATTAAAACAAACAGACAAACTCTGTATAATTGTTATACCCTGACGAGAATAATGACTGGTAACTTTGGGGATCCATTTATGGACTAATACTATGTGTATATTTTTATCATATAATTGTTATATAACTAAACTATACATATTCGTGTCCCTCTTATTATAAGCTCTATTTTGATTTATGAATTGTTACTATACGATTTACCATTCTTGAATTATGCCCTGTCTGTAAATTATTACATCCCACATACATAGCCACTTTTGGTTAAATCTTGTAGAAATGTTGTTTCATATTTTATGGTACGTTGTGGTCTGTCTGGTTGGTATATAAACCCTGTATGTTTGAAAATAAGTGATTCGATATTGCAGAGGCTGAGATTAGTGTTCTGGATTTAACTGGCTGGGCTAGGCGGGAAGCAGGATCAATAAGGACTCTAGACTGTTTGTACGTGTTTTACGCGTCATTGGTCCGATGGATAGCTCACTACTCTCTAATTGGCGGTATCATTACGTTATACATTAATAGAGCATACAGGTCATAACTTATAACAATAGTTTACCCCATCCTTTCATTGCTTGATAAAGTTCTTCAGCATCTTTTTCAGGATTAGTATTTGATTGAAGTTTTAATGTAGGTTGATAAATTTCACCATTTGGACCATATATTTGTAATTTACTTCTTCCCATTATTAGAATTGAATGTATAGGAATAAACTTGCTAAATAAGAGAATAAGAAAAAAACAAAAATGAAATAAGCATTGATGATAATGTAATAGTTAACTATTTAAAACAACAAGTAGTTGAGATTACAAGTGTCATTACCAAGGACGTTTTACTATTACTGTTTATACGCCACACAAGTCACTTGATTTGTGTGTGGGCTATGATACTATCCGGGTGTTCAAACTGAAGCAGGTGGTTTTCTTAGGAGGCCACATCCGGTGCCTTTGACCTGAAGGTCTGATCCACAAGGCGGTGGAACATCATAAGCAGATGCAGTCCCATGGTAGCTGATGACCAACGATTGGTTCATACGCCATTTGTTCCTTCAGGATATTGGAGCCCATGTGTATCATTGGTTTGGATTGAGGGTTTTCCAACTCCCCTAGGTGAAGTCTCCATATCCACCAACCTGGTTAAAGTGTCGGACATTCACTTTTCGTTCTCTCGATTTCATAAAGACCACCCGTGGTGCGAGAAGGCACTGAGTTGGACTTCTCTGGCAGAGACTATATACGCGCGGCCATGTGAGAGCATTTCGAGAGGGAGAACTGACTCTCTCCACTCTTTTTCATACCATGGCATTTGGGGGCAAATTTTACTAAGATGTTCTCTAATTTTCTATTTAAATACATTCAATTGTCTCCACTTATGTTCTCATTCACTATCGCTGTATATTTTAACTTTAGTTCTAGTTAAGATATCAAGAGAATATAACAGGATCTGATATCATTCAACTGACTTTTTTATGTCGATGCGCACTGCTGAGGAGTCCTACAATAGGAAGAAACGGCCGTCCAGTGCTTCCAGGTTTTCAATGGTGGTCTAACATCAATCGTTTCATGATCTCAATCTAATTCTTCAGAATTTCTCGACAAAGATGAAACGATTTCTAATGTTTTCTAATTTTCAATAGTCCTCTTGAAGCTGTTGTTATGTAAAGAAAATCATATTAATACCAATATATTAAATATTGTTGAACAAGTGGGCATTTTGAAATTTGAATATTATGTAGCTACTTCTCGTGGAGGAGCATAAGCCACCCACCAGAACTCTCCATCCAAACCTGTCTTGCCCAATCCTTTGCAATTGTCATTCACCCTTTTCATATCGGCTTCTATTTTCCAATGTAATGTGTTCTTTGACGTTCCTCTTTTCCGCTTCCTTTCAAGATTCCAAGATAGGGCTTACCTCGTTATTCAGTTCGGTGATTTCCGTATTGTATGTCCTATCCACTTCCAACGTTTTTTCCTGCTTTCCTCCTCAGCTGGAAGCTGGTTTGTCCTCTCCCACAGAATGGAGTTGCTGATGGTATCCAGCCAATGAATGTTTAGTATCATGTGTAGACAACTATTTGTAAATACTTGTACCTTGCTGATGATGGTTGTAGTAGTTCTCGAAGTTTCAGCTCCGTACAGTTGTATTGAAGATTCTCACTTTGATATTGGTTGAAAGTTATTTTGAGTCCCATATGTTCTTCAATTGTAAGAATGCTATCCTTGTTAAGTATCCGCGCATCATACCGAATATCTTGGTTTAAAATACCTACTAGTGAGGTCATAGATATGCACCATTCAAGAGTCTATGCTAGGATGATATGACTATCTTACGTTTCTTGATTTCGATGATTGTCTAACTTAAATCCAATCATGATCAAATCAAGATCTGATACCATTCATTTGATTCTAATTGGCTATTTGAAGAAAAGAAGGATTGGTGTTGTTTATTGATTACATAATAAACATATCAATGTAGATATTTGAAATAAGAGCGTAGGAAAATGAATAGTAAATATTTATTTTAATTATTATCGAATTTCACATATTCTGATGTTGTTTGCACAATTAAATGGTAATCCAATGTTTCTATACCATAATGGTTTTTTTTCTTCTGGCATAAACAAGATATGTACATATGTAACTATTGTAAATGGATTGAAATACTTGTTTAAACATGTATTTTCGCACAATTAATATCTTAATAGTCATGTGTAGTGTATACTACTGATGTCAATAGATATAAGTAGTATGTGTATCATTAATCGAAAGTGAAATGCATGAAGTCAGATGGTTAAGAAGATTGAAGAAAAGCGAATGAAAACAAAGAATAATTACTGTGGAAACGAAGTAATAATGAAATCTGAAATGATTGATTGAGTTTAGTAGAGTTTTGTTCTTTGAGTTGGATGGTAAGGGATAGGAATAAAACTCCACCACAATCATTCACTTGAGTTACAAATCTTCTCCATCATATTACAATTGATTGACATTTTGCGAATAAAGTATTCATTATATGGTTCTTAGGTTTTACAAAGTATTTATTTATTTATTTAAACACGTAAACATTAGTACAAGGAGGCACGAAAATAGATATGCGCCATATAAATCATTTGATATGTGTGCAGGCTGGAATACTACCTGGGTGCTCAAACTGAAGCAGGTGGTCTTCTTAGGGTGCCACACCCCAAAAACTTGACCTAAATGTCTAAACCGCTATGCAGTTAAACAACGTCAGGAGATGCAGTCCCATGGTAGCCTGTGACTAATAATAGGTTCATACACCATTAGCTTCCTCAGAATACTGGAGTCCATGGGAATCATTGGTTTGGAATGAGAGTTTTCCAACTCCCCTAGGTGGACTATCCGTATCCACTAGCCTGGTTAACGTGTCGGACATTCGATTTTCATCCTCTCAATTTCGTAAACAACACCCGTGGTGCGAGAAGGCAATAAGCAGGACTTCCCTGGCAGATGCTTTATACGTGTGGCCATGTGAGAGCATTTCCAGAGGGAGAGTTGACTCTTCCTACTCTCGGCCGTACCAAAGCATTGTGGGGTACGATCCAGTATATAACTAGTAGTACTATTCATCTAAGATTCATGTAAGAATAAGTAGAACACTTAATTGATTTTATTCATAATGTACAAGTCTTAGACAAATTTTATTGTTCTCAATTGCAGAAACAAAAACATTCTCAGAGTATTATCTTTATTCTATAAAAACGTTACGATCATTTTTTGTTTAATTATTAACCTTGACCTTGAAATAATCTTAAAATTGGTCAGTTTACTCCTATACTTAAACTTTAAAATTAAGATTATTTATAAATAAGTAAAACTTGAAGATTTCTTCTAGTACTATCATGGATTAAACTTTGAATAAGTCAGTCAGTCAGCTACAACGTGGGATCAGACGTATATATACATGGGTCCAAGTTGTCATACCTCATTGGCACAACAAGATGAACACTGGATTCATAGAAGTCGTCATTTCGATGGTGGTAATATATAGAAGAAAGATCGCATATAAGGATATAGTACAGAAAGAAAGAATTAGTTCATAGAAAGAATGATATAGAGCGATTTTAATCTCATCGTTCATGGGAAGACAGAGAGTGTATACACCTACACCATTGTGATCGATTCTGAGCCATGTCACCAAGAATCTTGAAACACCGACTTCGATGTGTTGGACATATACTTAACTAGTCAGTCGTCAGTCGGCTACAACGTAGGACCAGACACATATATGCATGGGTCCAAGTTGCCATACCCCGTTAGCACAGCAAGATTCATAAAAGCAGTTAATTCAATGGTGGTAATATATAGAAGAAAGATCGCATATAAGGATATAGTACAGAAAGAAAGAATTAGTTCATAGAAAGATATGAAGCGATTTTAATCTCTTAGTTTACGGGAAGACAGAGTGTGTATACACCTACTCCATTGTGATGGATTCTGAGCCATGTCACTAAGAGTCTCTAACCATTGGTTACGATAGTCACGCAGATCCTAACCAAGTAGTCTGCATCTCCCAACATGGTTAGGATTAGAAGTTAGTGACTTTGTAGATGGATGCCACGTTTTGGTTTGGCCATCCCTAACCTTCTTCCAACTATTCCTAACACTAGTCATCATTGTGTGTCGTGGTAATCGGTGTTTAGACATACATGACACGTGGCCTTTAAGTGATTCATAGTTGAGATTACTTTTACAACCATGATAATTTGACGAAACGATGGTTATAAAATGGACTGTTTTTAGGGGAAAAAAAATGGATAGACCGAATAAATTTCTTTTTTAGTTTTTCATTATGATTTTACAGTAATATGTATATAATTTACAATAATTAAACAATAGTCATAGAGTATTTAATTGAGATCATGAACCGATTGATGTAAGACCATCATTGAAAACCTGAAAGCACTAGACAACCGTTTCGTCCTATTGTTGAACTCCTCAGTAGTGCACATCCACGATCCCGCTTTGATGGAATAATTACTTAACGGATTCTTATAAGATGGATTTTTGGTAGATTACCATATTCTATTTCATTTCTAAGTGAATTAAATTCTGATTATTAGTGCTGACATAAAGAACATAGTTGTTTAGTTTGTAGAGACTAGATGAAAGATTAAATTGAACTGAGATGATGGTATATCCAACTGACGAGTCCCAAATAGAACGAAACGTGATTCATGGATTCCACTGCTAGCCACTACCCGTCTTTGTATATAATGCTTTTGACTTACGACAATATCAAGACAATCCGCATAGGTTGTATATATGCCAATAAGAGACACTATTAGCAACAACGTACTGTGGGAGAGAACAAACCAGATCCCAGCGAAGGAAGAAATCAGGAAGAAGCGCTAGAAGTGGATAGGACACACATTGACGAAAGCACCCAACTGCGTCACAAGACAAGCCCTCACATGGAATCCTCAAGGCCAAAGGAGAAGAGGAAGACCAAACAACACATTACGCCGAGAAATGGAGATAGACATGAGAAAAATGAACAAGAATTGGATAGAACTAGAAAGGAATGCCCAGGACAGAGTGGGTTGGAGAATGCTGGTCAGCGGCCTATGCTCCATTGGGAGTAACAGGCGTAAGTAAGTAAGTAAGTAAGTAAGTAAGTAAGTAAGTAAGTAAGTAAGTAAGTAAGTAAGTAAGTAAGTAAGTAAGTAAGTAAGTAAGTAAGTAAGTAAGTAAGTA